GCTCCCCTGGTCCCCTCCTTTGGGGGTGAGTATGGAAGGTATATGGGAGACCCAAGCCCCAAGCTGGCTCTCAGGCAGGAGCTCCTGCCCCCACGACACTGCTTCTCAGAAATGAACCACCCTGCAGTCGCAGACGTGGGGGGGGGGGACCCCCGGCGGGGCAGAAAGGGGACGTGTCTCTCCCTGCACTGCTCAGGAAGAGGGTCCCCATGACTCACGTGGGGGTGATGGAATAGGGGGGCAGGGAAGGGAAATGGAGGGGAGCAGGCTGGGCTGGCGGCATTGGCCAGGCTCCCCAGCACCGCCTCTGTGCACCCCATGATGCTCCAGTGGTGGCTGCGCTGTGTTTCAGACGCCCTCCCAGGAGTGCTCCCCCGCCCGCGCCTCCCGCTGGGTGCGGAGCAGAGGACCATATGGAGGGAATAATAAGACAATTAACTTTCCATTAACGAATAATGTATGGGGTTTTTAGGGAGCGAGCGGCAGCAGTCCCCACCAGTAGAGTGTTTCACACCGTGCCCCCCGCCACCCCCACCCGGACGTGCCCCACATCCTGATTGTCTGTGCCAGGAGACCAGAGGTTGCCGCGGGGTCTCGAGGGAGGCGGGGTGAGGGGTACTCTGGGGGCACAAGGAGGGGTGTGCGGGGGCTACAGGGACTCCAGGGAGGGGCTACGGTGGACTCTCTCACCACCCCATCCGGGGGTCTGGTGCAATTGGGGGTCCACCTGGCCGCGAGCTGCAGACCTGCCTCTTGGGGTGCATGTCACCACATCGGCGTGTCTCCCACCTCGCCTGGCCCTCCGAGGGCTGTTTGACCCCTGCCACCTTCCTGATCCCCGAGTCCCGCCTCCTCATCTGCCTCAGCCCCACCCCCCACCCCCCGCCCACGGGTTCACTGTCACTTGGGCCCTGCTGGGGATGCCCAGCCTCCCAGGGCGCCCCAGTGGTTGCACCCACAGCCTCGGGCACACACCTGGAGCCAGTCTGTGGGCATGCTCCCCTTTGGGGGTGGGGATTGATACTGCATAGGGGAGAGGGGTTGGGGGAGACTGGGAGGAGCTTGTGTCAAAGGCTCCTGCAGAGGGCCCTTCCCGCCTTTCCTGGGCCTGGAAGTGACCAGAGTTTGGCCCATGCCAGGAGCCAGGTCCAGATGGGGTCCCCTGCAAATAGTCATTACACAGTCCCGGGGCTCACTGAGCAGGTGATTGGGTGCAGGGGGCTCACTGAGCAGAGGACAGGGTACAGGGGGGCTCCCCGAGAAGACAGAGTGCAGGGGGCTCACTGAGCAGAGAATGGGGTGCAGGGGCTCCCTGAGCAGATGATAGGGTACAGGGGGCTCCCTGAGCAGAGGACAGGGTACAGGGAGCTCACCGAGCAGAGGACAGGGTGCAGGGGCTCCCTGAGCAGATGATGGGGTGCAGGGGATTCTCTGAGCAGGGGACGGGGTGCACGGGGGCTCCCTGAGCAGCGGGGGCTCACTGAGCAGAGGACAGGGTACAGAGGGCTCCCTGAGCAGACAGGGTGCAGGGGTGCTGTGCACCACCCTGAGTCGGAGGGCATCCCTGTTGGCCTGAACCATCCAGAGTATCCCTAAAGGCATAGCCATGGGGGTGGGCTGGGAGACTGGAGGTCTTGAGAGCCTGTGCCCTAGCCAGGTGGGGAAGGGGCTGCCCTGTGGCTCCTCTAGGCAGGCCCTGGGTCTGCTTCTCTGCCTTGACCATCCTCTCCACCAAGCGTCCCCTCAGAACGTGGCCTGGAGCCCCCAGGGGCAGCCTCACTCAGTCCCGGCCCGGGCCACAGACCTTCCCACGTCCTCTGCGGGACCCTCAGAGGGCCCGTGTCAGGAGGCCCTGGTTCTTCTTTGTGTCTGACCACGAACCCCCCTGCTTTGCTTTCCCACTAGGACCCCAGCCTTCTCCTGTGGGCACCCAGTCAGGAGGGGCGGGGTCCCTGGCTGCACTCCTCAAAGTGACCTGGGCTTCTCAGTGGGCAGACCTGCCCAGCTCACATCCTTCTCCACGGACCCCCAGGCGCCTGATGAATTATTCATCCTGATCAGTCTCATTATGTAAATGAGCTCACAGCCCAAGCATATGCTCCCTGCTCCCCCCCAGGGAGGGGAAGGGGGACAATATGGTGCTGATGGAGGATGCTGGAGAGGGGGTGCAGGAGACATCACTCAGCACCCAGGGCCTCCAGGCGGGGCAGGCTGTGCAGGGCCACACCTTTCTGACCTTTGGGGGCAGAAGTGGCTTGGGGCTGGGGGAGCTGGTGGGGCAGGCTCAGGGGGTACCGAGCCAAGCGAGGGGGAGGGGATGATGCAGGAGCTTCTACTACATGCACACTAGCCCGTGGGGCCTTCCGTGTCACCGAGTCCAGCCTGTCAGAGGTGTCCCCAGGGTGCTGTGTGAGGTCAGCAGAGAGGAAGATGCTTCCAGAGCCAGTCTGCACTGCGCCCCCTGGCAAGTGCCAGCCCTTGTGGTCCCTCCTTCTGGGGGTGGGGGTGGGGGGCCAGGGCAGGGACGGCCAGAGAGGGCAGCCCTGGGGGAGGGGGCAGCTCCCAGGACCACCCCAACTGCAGGTATCTGGGGGCAGCTCAGAACAAACTTCTGGGGACCGAGGCTGTCAGCCCGGTGGAGCTACGCCAGGGGCCCCGGGAGCATGTGCAGCTGGGTCAGGGCTCTGCTCCAAGCATCTTCCCGAGCTACCAGAGCCACACGGGCTGGGCACTTGGGCCACCCAGCATGCACTGGGAGGAGGGCAAAGGTGCTTCAGACCGGGTCTGGGGAGGGTTGTGGGGACGGGGAGGTGGGTGACGGGGGGAGGCCACAGACAGCCAGCCTCCTGTCTCCCTCCTGCCCTCACGGGGTTGTCCTCTTTCTCTGGAACCTCTCCGCTGTCCTTCCCACCCCCCACCTTGCTAGGGTGCCCGGTGCCAGGCAGCAGCCCCAGAGCTGTCAGCAGGAGGTAAGCGGCTGAGGAAGCAGGTGAGAAAAACTGGAGCAGGACACAGCCGCTGGAGAGCTGGCAGCCTCGACAGGCAGGAGGGCTGCCAGGAGGAGCCGGGAACGCCGGGTCAGCACTTTCCCTCTGCCGGCCGCCCAGCCTGGCCACAGCCACACTGAAGGGGGCCGGGCCAGCCCCTGCCTACTGCTGCCGGCTCCTCCTGTCCCTCCTTCCAGGGGAGGGCCAGCGCCCCAGAATGGGCGTCAGAGCCCCAGGCCCAGCTGGCTCTCTCTACCACGAGTCAGCTGTGTGACCTTGGTTCCTGCAGGGAGAGCAGGGGTGGGGGGAGATGTGCTCGTTGACCAAGAGTCTGGAATCACGCAGGCGCCACCAGGAAGGAGTGAGCATATTCTGGGATGGAGGATAATCGACAGGGAAACTCACATCCGATTTCTAGAAAGGGGGGGGAGCTGGCCTGGACCTGGTTTCAACACCGCGTCTCCCCAAGGGGCTTCCCAGCCACGCTGAGGGTCAGGGCGTGCAGCCCTGGCCCAGGGCATACAGCGGGCACGCCGAGCTGACACTCCACCTCTGGTCCTCGTGCCCCCCGCCCTCCCCCCCACAGAAGCTCAATGGTTCAGGCAGATCCCGGTCGAGGCAGAAATGCCTGCGCTGTTTTCTCGGTGGAATCTCGGGTCTGTTTTGCCTGCGTGGGTGACATGGGCAGCATCCTGCAGCTGGGCGTACAGAGCAAGGGGGCTGTGTGCCTTGCTGAGCGGGCACCTCACACCCCCGGACAAAACATGGAAAGCACCCCTGTCAGTGTGGGGGGGCTCCTTCCTTCACTAACCTACACGGCTGCCTTGACAGTGCCCACCTAGGGCCCCGTCCTCGCCCAGTGCTGCTCCTGAGGCCTGATGAACTCCCCTCCACAGCCATCTCTCTCACCGTGCCTTCTAGGGAAAGCGCTGCTGGCCACCCAGGCTGCCTCTAAGTCACCCAGGGGCTCACAGGAAGTGGGTGGGAAGGGGCTCATGGGCAGAGGGAATGCCAGAGAGGCCGGCCCCTCGGGGGAGAGCATCCAGCCGGCGGGTGGCCCCTGCAGTGTGAACCGAAAGAGGGATGCCCCCCTGTCACCACCTCACCCTGCCCTTGCCAACGGCCACGTTCATGGTCACCACTGGTATGAGCCAGGTCGGAGCAGCGCAGACAAGGCCCCCTGGTCCCTGGCTCGAAGGAGCGGCATCTGTTGACACCGCAGGAGGGGCATCTGCTGACCCTGCCTTGGCCAAGAACACAGCAGGGGGTCTTATGAGTGGGCCGAGACTGGGGTTCTGTGGAGCCACAAACAGAGACTCTGGTGACCTGTACAGCCAGGTCAATTATCAGCAGAGACACCCCCACCCCAACTTCACACAACCCCTGTTAGTTTCCGGCCAGCACCTCCCGGTGGTGGCCCTCGAGACCACAGCCAGACCCTCAAAGTGCCCCTGCACAGCGCTGCTGCGGCTCTCTCCCGAGCCTCCGCTACCCGGCACCAGGGCCCAGGGCCCCACAGTGACAGTGTGCAGCCTTCGGGGGGTGACGGATGGCCTGCGCCTCGTGTCACTATTTCAAACATTAACATAATCTCCCAGGATGAATGTGGCTGCTCTCGCCTAATCAATCACCCCCCCCACCCCTGATCCGGCTTCCAGCAGCTCGCAGCCTGGAGCAGGCAGCCCTGCTCTCAGGACCGCGTGTGGACCGTTCATCCCTCCGGCTTCCTTGTGCACCCCGTGCTCGGACCCCTGCCTAAAATGCACACCTCACCTCCTGGAGCCCAGCTGGGGATGGCTGGAGACCGCCCACGAGCACAGGGGGGGCGGGGGGCGGGCATCAGAGTGGACCCTGACTGACTGCGGAAACACAGGGACACCAGGCTCTTCCCCACCCGAATCCCCAACGCCAACCATTCCTGCTCCCTTTTCCTGAGCACCCCCAACCTCGCCCATCCTCTCCCACCGGGAAGAGCGTCTCTGCAGGGGACCCTGCAAGTGGCGCCAGGCTTACCTCTCGGAGCTGCTGGACGCCCCCAAAAATCCGCATCACGCCTTCGATCTCCTGCTCCAGGCGCCGGGCCCAGTGCTGCATCCTGCGTGCAGAGGAGAGAGAGGGGTCAGGAGAACCACCCGGTATGGGAACAGCCCCACCCAGGCCCCGGAGTTACTGGGAGACAGCCACCCGCTGTGAGGGCCAGTTTTCACCAGGGGAGAAGCAGAGGCCAAGCCTTTGAAGTCCAGTCACCGTGGCCCCAAACGCTGTAGGGGGTATGGGGCTGCGTGGTGGTGGTGGTGGTGGGGGATAGAGAGGGAGGCCGTTTAGATGCACCAAAGGAGATCAGCGGCTCGGCGATCTCCTTCATGTGGCAGGTGGCTCTGAACTTGGGGACTTGTGCACCACGGGAGGAGGGAAGGCACAAGGGGGACTGGCTGGATCTCAGCACCTCTCATCTCCCTTGGTCTCTGTGTGGCCCTCGGGACCCCATCTGATGTGGGGAGCGGCCAGTCTCCACCAATGCCCCCACCTTTCCACGGCTGTCAGCACGCCTGCCCGACGCGCCCCCGCAAAGGCTCCCTGTGGACCTCCTTAGCCCTTTCTGGAGGGCTGGCCAGCTCCACAGAGCAGCACCACCAGCAGATCTCCCTCCCTCGGGCAAGTGTCCCTTTGGGGTGTGTTTTCACCCATCTATGACTCTGCTGCCCCCTCTGGAATGTGGGTATAGTTTGGGGACCCCTCTTGGGGCATCATGAAAACATGAGACCAGGCGGGTCAAGGACACAGCTCAGAGGCCCTAAAGCCGCGCCTGAGCAGGACGGAGGAGGGGCAGTCACCTGGCCCCATAGCCACAAACGTGGACCCGCTCACACATCCTGTGGGTTCCCCAAGCAGAGGCCCACTGGTCCCTGCCCAGGTCCGGTCACAGAGACAATTGCCACGGCCTGAGCCATTCTCTCCTGTGGCTTCAGCTTTCTGAGCTGAGGGCCCCCGACATAGCTGAAAATGCACCCCGTTTCCCAGCCCCCCCCCAACACTCTCCCGCACAAAGGTGTGGATAAGCCATGGGGCAAGCACAGCCAGCCTCCCCCGCAGCCACAGGGTCCCAGGGTGGGGGGTTCCCTGGGCCTGCCACCTCCCCCATTGCTGCTTGGGGGCCTCAACTCCCTTTGGCTCACTAGTCCTCAGAGCCCAAGCCTCACCATGGCCCCCTGCCCCCACCGCCCCCCAGGCCCGTGGCTGAGGGCTGGGGCCTTGCCATTGTGTGCCCGGGGCCGGTTGGCATGGGAACTTGGAGCAGGAGGCGGGCAGATCACTAATTGCAATTTGCCAAGCTGAATGTCAGGACCGTGATGGAAAAAAAAAAAATCAACATCAAAAGAAAGAGGTATTAGCTTCGGCTTGTTGCTGGCTGTGCCTCAGCCCGAATCCCACCTCCGCACCCTACCGCAGGGGAGAAAGCTAACTCCGCGCCAGCCGGGCTGCAGGCCCGGCCATTGGGCTCAGAGGGGCAGCCAGGCCACAATCAGGGGCTTGGGGAGGGCAAGGCGCAGCAGAGAAGGGACAGCCTGCCCAGCCCGGCCCTATCCCCCACGCACGGGTCACTTAGCCTGGCTGCGGGTGGACAGTGTGGCCGGTGGCTGCTGGGATGGCCCAGCACACAGTCCACGCCCAGCCAGGCAGGCGGGACAAGCAGCCCTGGATCAAGGAAGCAGTTCATCTCCGAGGACCTGCCCCAGCCCCCAGCCCTGCCGCACACGGGTCCAGACACCAAGCAGGATCCTTCTCCAGCTGAATACTTAGTGGGCGCTGACCACACGCTCTCTCCTTCCCTCTCTGTTTCTTGACATTTTCTTTTTTGCGTTGCCGTTGAGAACACATGCAGAAAAACACGTACCGACTCGACACGCAGCAGCCTTCACGTCGCATTTCCAAGTGTCGCAGTCAGGGACAGGGACATTCTTGGTGAGGGGAAGCCTCCTTTTCCGAGTTGGCCCTCCCTCGTGAACAGACGCACTCTCCCCTCGGGTCCCCATCTGATCTTTCCTAGAGCTGTGGTCACTTTGATCCCTGATGGGCAGCTCCTAAAAGAGCACCCTGCTCAAGGCAGACCCCCTGCACCAGTTTGCTTTTCAGGCAAGGTCAGGGAGGCTTCAAGGTCAGGGAGGCTTCAAGGTGACCTCTGGGTAGTAAGTAGTTTCAGGGATTTATTCGCCCTGCATCGCTCCAAGAAGTCCGGCCACTTCCTCCCCAACTTGTTGGGAAGGAGCTGAGACACAGAGGGCTTAAGTGACCTGCTCAAGGTCACCGGACCAGGACGCAGTGTAGAGAGGGCTGTGTGGAAGTCCGCTTGCAAGGGTGGGCTTGGCGCATCTCTCTTTACCCCTGTGCTGGTGCAGTGGTCCTGGGAGCCTGCGATGGGCCCTAGCAGGAGTATTTACGCCATGGAATTTGGCAAACGTTGCAAATCAGGGTTTCTCCTCCTGGACAGTGAATGACTGATTCCACCCCAGGCAGTTGATCAACGTGCACACGGGTCTCCAGGTAAAATCATAATAATGGTGATAAAAATCATTGGAAGAACAGACACAGTTGGGGATGTTTTATATTGTCCAGACAGCACTTTGTTACTTCAGAAGAGCCAAATCTCAGGATAAGGAACAGTTCTTTCCCAAAGAAACACACACACACACACACACACACACACACACACATCTCTCCACCCTGACCGCAGACCAAGTAGCTCTAGATTTGCCTATGGGCTCCAGGGACTGGCCACCTCGGGCTCCCTGGGGCACACACACCCCCCTCCCTGGAGCGGCTGCTTCAGCCCTGAACCTGGCTTCCTGGGCCCAGCTCCATGCCCACCAGTCTGCACCGCCCAGGAGAACAAGCGGCTCTGGTGACCCACTGAGAACAGACTCACGGAGGAGGCGACCCGCATGTTCTCGAGTCGGAAAAGGAGCATGGTGGATGGGGTCACGTGTCACGGCCACAGGGCTGTGGTTTCGTGGGTTCCAGGGTTTGGCGCATGTCCCAGTGTTGGCTCTCAGGGGTGACACGCAAGCACAGTGGGGGTGGTGGTGTCGGGGAGGGGGACTGTGTACCTGTAGCGGTCCTGCCCAGAGACTGGAGAAATTACCCTCTGGGCCAGGGCCAGGCCTCCCCACTCCAGCAGAATGGCATGGGGCTATGGAGGGTGGGTGGGGGTGTACACGGGGACCCATGCCCCTGCTGGGTCAAAGCAGACCAGGCAAATCCAGCCAGGACTTCCAGTGACTTGGGCCCAAGTCTACGCTGGCCCGACACTGCCCACCTGAGGCTCCTTGTGTTTTCCCAGGCTCTGCCAGGGGATGGCTCTGCTCTGGCTCATCCTTGGGCACCAAGTTAGCAAGACAGCGAAGGAGCAGGAGCAGGGGCAGGAGCAGGAATAGGGGCAGGGGCAGGGGCAGGAGCAGGGACAGGCGCAGAAAGGCTAAGCACCATGGCGCCTGGGTGCCCAGGGCCAGGGAGGCACGGGCGCTGTGCCTCGTTTTACAGAATAGGAAACTGAAGCCCAGACAGCTGGAGGGAGCCTGGGTGCTGGCTATGGCCACATCCCCACCCACCTTCCGGCTCAGCTGGAAATGTGCGGGCTCCCTCGGGCCCAGCTGCCACCCCCAGCCTCCCTGTCCGTGCGTGGGGTGAGAACGGCCGTTTGCCCTTTGATGACCACAGATGCACATGGAAACCGGGACGGTAGCAGGATGACTGGACATCAGGGGCGGGACCACTGAGGAGTGCTTGTGGGTGGAGCTGGGGTGGCGGCTCAGTGCTCATGGGTTGGGCTGCAAACAGCAAGGTTGGCAGTTCAAAACCGCTAGCTGCTCCTTGGGAGAAAGATGAGGGTTTCTGCTCCCGTAAAGAGCTACCGTCTCTAATGATTGGGAGTGGGGAGCCTCCTGCTCTGAGGCTGGGGGAGGAGTCCGAGGCAGCTGAGGCTGGGGACAGGGAGGCCCAGGGCCCAGGGAGGAGGTGGTGAGGGGTGAGACCCCTGAGGGGGCAGATGCAGGAGGCCAGAGGGAAGAGGGAGAAGAGGCCCGAGTGCAGCTGCAGCAGCAGCAGCAGCAGCAGCAGCAGCAGCAGCAGAGATTAAACTGTTACCAGTTGTTAATTTTATATGAGAAGTTGTTGATCGGAATGTGATTTAATTGTACAGTATAATCCGGGCTTTTGGAATAAATTATGCAGAAAACTCATCTATAATTAAACAAATCAAAAAACCAGAGACAGGTGACACGGCAGGTTCACCCTCAGAGGGCACGGGTGGGTGTGGAAGGCTGGACCCAGCGGAGGGCGGAGGAGGGGAGCTCTGCTCTCCAGCAGGCAGGGGCAGGCCAGGGAGGGGCTGGGTAGGACTGAGGGCTGCTGGGAGTGGGGTTTCCCACAAGGGTCCCTTCTCCAGGGAAGCCAAGCAATGAGCACCTCCAGGCTCTGCTGCCACAAAGTTTCCTGGCCACTCAGAGCTAATTCTGCTGCCTCCCAGGGCAGCCCGCCTGGACTGCCCCACTCCATGGGGCACACAGCCTGCCGCCCTCCCGCGGCTCAGCAGGGCAGCCACCTGGGCTATGAGGGGTAGAGGGGAGGGTGGGGGTGGGGACAAGGGGGGTGGGGTGAGGCTAGGGTAGGGTGGGTGGGTGAGGGTGGTGAGGATGGGGATGGGGGGCCCGGTATAGACATGTGGGGGCTGCAGCTGCTGGAAGCCCACAGATCTCTCACTTCTCTCCTGACAGGCTAGCCAGTTGCTCTCCCCGCTCTGGGGAAGGCCACAACTAAAATGACGCGATACTTGATTCTTTTGATTATGTGTCAGCTGCCTGGTCACCTCCCACCTAGGTGCCTTGGAATCTTCTGAAGGTGGAAGACAGGCAGACAAGGTGGACAGACGGAGAGACACAGAGACAGGAGGAGAGCTGGGTTGAGAAGCCGACCTCGGCCCAGGAGCGGAGAAGCTGGTGGGTGGGCAGCTGATGCCACTCCCCGGGGAGGGCGTGCCTCCCCCACCAGCCACTAAGGTCACAGGGCACCAGGCCTGACCCCTGCTGCAATGGCAGCTT